ATCTCAATGATGGTTCCTCCATTTCAACAGACATATCACCTGATACTGATACTGGTCCTATTCAACCTTGCATCAGGAGGAGCACACGACAAAAAATTCCCCCTGTTTGGTTGCAAGATTTTGTATCCAACTTCACCCAAACATCTGCCATTTCTACTTCAGTTTCCCATCATCCTAACTCCACTTCTTCAAATTTTACTCCTAACACTTTCCTTATTATACTTCACTTTGTTTTCACCCAACATATGTTGCATACCTGACTAACATTACCACTGTCCAAGAGCCTACTTCATACAGGGATGCGAGCTCAAAGAAGGAATGGTCAGAGGCAATGAGAGCAGAACTTGATGCTTTGGAAAAAAATGACACTTGGGAATTGACATCTCTGCCTTCTGGAAAGAAACCTATAGGTTGTAAATGGGTTTTTAAAGCAAAATTAAAGGCTGATGGCACTTTAGATAGATGTAAAGCGAGATTGGTTGCGAAGGGTTTTAACCAAGTTCCTGGTATTGATTTTTTTGACAGTTTCTCTCCAGTGGCTAAACCAGTAACTATCCGGTTATTTATTGCTATTGCCACTGGAAAACTTTGGCCTGTCTTTCAGCTTGACATTAATAATGCCTTCCTGCATGGGCTATTGATGAAGAGGTCTATATGTTGCCACCTGAGGGATATCAACAGGCTGCTACTGGACAGGTTTGCAAGCTCAAGAAGTCTCTTTATGGTCTGAAACAAGCAAGCTGTCAATGGAATTCGGAGTTAAGTAAGCATCTCCTCACTTATGGTTTTCACCAGTCACAGCATGTCTGTTTACTATGAACACCTCCTCTTCCTTCACTGCCCTTCTAGTTTATGTCGATGATCTGCTCATTACTGGTAGTGACGAACTTGAAATTAATCGTGTTAAGGCCTCTTTGCACAAGGCTTTCACCATCAAGGATTTGAATTATGCTAAGTACTTCCTTGGTATTGAAATTGCAAGATCAACAGAGGGTACATACCTAAATCAGAGGAAGTATGCCCTTGATATTGTCACAGATGCTGGTCTATTAGGGGCTAAATGTACTTCTACTCCGTTACCTAAGGGCCAGCAATTTGTTGCTTCTGATCAGGATCCTTATTCTGATCCTGAGAAATTTCGAAGACTCATTGGCCGCTTGCTTTATCTCACATTCACCAGACCTGATATTACATTTGGCGTGCAACAATTGAGTCAGTTTATGCAGAGTCTTTCGTCGCTCATTGGAATTCTGCTTTACATAACTTGCGTTATGTTAAGGGTACTTTGTAGAAAGGATTGTTTTTTCCTGTCACTAATAATTTTGTTTTGGAAGCATTCAGTGATGCGGATTGGGCAACTTGCCCGGACACTCGTCGTTCATTAACTGGTTACTGCATCTTTTTTGGAGGCACTTTAATCTCCTGGAAAACCAAGAAGCAGACCACCGTCTCCAGGAGTTCAGCTGAAGCAGAATACAGAAGTCTGGCTGCCACAGTTTGCGAGTTACAGTGGATTCATTATCTTCTTCAGGACTTCAACATTGCTGTTTCTCTTCCTATTCCCTATGGTACGACAATCAGGCAGCTCTTCATATTTGTGCCAATCCCGTTTTCCATGAGCGTACAAAGCATCTTGATATTGATTGCCACATTGTTCGCAACCAATTCAAGCTTGGCTTTGTTCTTTCTCGTCATGTCTCCACTAATGATCAACTTGCCGATCTTTTTACCAAGTCTCTCCCGGCTCCTCAATTTCGGTTTTTACTCTCCAAGTTGGGTTTGATGGATTTCCATCAATCTCCCACTTGAGGGGGAGCGGGGGGATATTGAATTTTATGTACTCAATGTTCACATATTATTTCTTCAGGACCTCCTTTGCTANGACCTCCTTTGCTAATTTTCTATCTGTCCTTACTTGTATCAGTTTCATAGTTAGGGACTTAGATATGATATTTCTTTCTTTTTGTCTGTTATGTTTGTTTCTTCCCTACCGGTGCATATATACCGTATGTGAGCTGATTTTAGCTGGTGGTGTGAAATAAAATTGAAATCTTATTCTTCAAATCTCGATTTCTTCAAACTGACTGGTAATTCCTGAATAAATCTCGCATGTTCTCAAATGTTGTGTCCATTTTAATCTGACAGAGCATTGTATGCACACCGCCAAACCTAAAGTCTTTTTGTTACCTAAATTTTGTGGTAGAAACTAGGAAAATTTTCTCTTGGAATCAAATTTTTGAGTAGCCAATTAATTCTGGATAAAACTACCTTCCCGTGGACATGGTGCGTATTCTAGTTATCAACAATCAATGGATAATCTAAAGTGATTTTCTTGGATTATGTGTTATTAAAGGCAGAATTCACATTTTCCGATAGTTCTAAAATCTAAAAGCCTTAAGAGTTGAGCAAAACAATTTTAGCAGATTATCATAATAATCAGTTTTTCTAATAATCAATTCCAGTACTCGTACTCTAATAATCTCCTGCTGTGGCCAACAAGGTCATGTTATGGAGAAACCGAGGGGTTGTTCTCTTTGCGTTTCAGTTTTATGTTTTGAGTGTTCATTTTGAGATTATTGAAAATGTGTTTTTTTTGGCATTTTGAAAAATTGTTTTGAAAACACTCAAAACGCATTTTGAAAATTTTGGTTTGATTATAATTGAAAACACCCGAAACGAATTTTTAAATTGTTTTCAAAAACGCGTTTTCGAAAATAGGAAAGAGAACATGTTTTCACCGTTTGGGAAAATCGAAAAGAGAAAATGGCTTGAAAATGGTAAAGAGAACAGAACTTGAACTTTTCATAGTTAGCGAAAACTGTCACACATCTCTGACCTATATACTTACAGCCTTTATATTTGATAGGCTTCTTACTCCTCCTGGAACTCCAGTGGTTCCTTCATCGGATGGATATGAATCTCGACCATGTCTTGGGGCTGCAAGAAGCAGTTTATTGGTCAGATCAATCTCTACAACCAAATCTTCAAGGTACGACGTCAACATGTTATTGGTAGTTGAGTGTGAGCATTGGTCACAGATTTCTCTTTGTTGCATGATATTAGCTGAGCTGATTTTTAAGCCATTTAAAAAATGCATTTAGTTGTAACAGTGTTATGCTCACTTGTTTTGGGAAAATATTGCATTTTGTTGTCGTCTGGTTTGTCTTTATTAAGTGAACTAGATACATAATCAACTACTAAACATTCTCTTGAGCATAACAACTTTCACTTTCTTGTACTATTTGTCTGAAGTTTTTTTGTACATAAATTTTCCAATTTCAGCTATCAGTCTCAGTCAGAGAGCAACCGTCCTACAAGAACAATTAGAAGTAGTTCAGCGACTAGTCCTTCTGTCTCCAGCTCACAATATAGATATAGTAACTACAACAAATCAACCTCCATCCTAAACGCAAGCTCTTCTTCAGTAACATCTTATATTCGACCATCCATTCCCAGTCGCTCTTCATCAACTACCCCGTTGATCGATGTCGAGATCTTCCACTCCTTCTAAAGCCCGGCCTTCCCCTAACACGTCTGCCATTGATAAACCTAGAAGCCCCCGACCACCTACTCCAACCTCTAGGCCACAAATATCTGTAAACTCAAATTCCTCTGCTCATAAGTCAAAATCAAGACCTTCAACACCGGCTCGACGAAATCCAGCAGCATGTTCACCTCAACTATCTGGACTATCAGTCTCAGATGGGCATAATCTCCCAAATGGTCGCAGTTTTACTTCAGTTTCCATTCCAGTCTCCCCTGGTCTATTAGTTTGTTCTTCTTTTCAACCATTGGCGCTCCCAGATTTTCCACTCGAAACACCACCAAACCTCCAAACGACTTTGCCAGATAGACCACTATCTGCTGGCAGGTCCAGGTTTCACGGGTTACCTTTCTTCTTAGCACAGAAAGGGACACCGTGCGGCAGTAGTCTGCTCCGCTAGACTACCTTCCGCCTTCTCTCGGTTCTTTCGGGACGAAAAGAAATTTGA